AACATTGTTCGGTTAGCGTAAACTTAAGAAAAACAGCTTCAGTGCAATTCTTTCCATCTAAAATCGCTGCTTTTGTTTTGTTTTTAAAAATTTTAACTTTTTTTTCAAAAATACATTAGTTTTATAAAATATAATTTTGTTTCTTCAAATGTTATTTTGTTTTTTATTTGTTAATGTGTTTTTGAATTGTAAATGTGTTTTGCACTTCTCAGCCACCGTAGTTAACCACTGTTATTTTAAAAAAAGGCGCCATAACTCCGCCTCAAACGTTTGCTAACTTGTCTTGCTTTTGATCCACTCCACCCTGGAGAGCAATTCTCCATTTTTGATTACAAAAAAAATGGCGCCCTCTGCTGTTGCATTTGTGTAGCGACCCCAGACCACTGTCAGCCTGTATAGTTGGTTAGACCCCGATTATAAGACGACCTCACATTTTAACAAAAAAAACAAACCTTGTCTTATATTCAGTCCATTACGGTATTTAAAATACTCAGAATAAGAAAAACGCAGGAAATGCAATCCGATTATATTCTGGGTAGCATGTTAACGTGACGCGTTTGTAGCCTTTATTCTGATTGCTAATATCCTCGTTAACGCTGCAACAGATGACACGCTAAATGCCGCCAAAGGGGGTTCTTGAGTTCAAGAAAATTGGTCCTGGGAAGTTTTTGAATTTGATATTAACAAACAAATTAACATTGCAGAGGTTTGACAGCAGCGCCGGTGTTCTGTCAGAGGAGCATACACCGTCAGACCAGCATACCTATGGTGAAAACATAAACCTCAGCGGGCCTGTATGCCTTTAGCCGTGTACAAAAACAATTTAAGGTGAGATCGTCATACGCTTTAAAAAACAGCAAAAAGCAGGCCATAGAATAGTTTTTGCACACGACTAAAGGGTTACACCCCCGTCAAGGTAGTTTTAAGTTTATTTTTCATACAAAACTAAAGCTGTGGGCTACAGGGGTAGATGGGTATGCTCATCTGACAGAACAGCGGCTGGTCAATATTAGACACATCTGACGTTTATCGATGAAAAAAAATAACAATGGGCCCAGAAACTGGCAGCACAGATCTGGGATCAGTTGGATCAAGAATAATCAGCATTGGCTTTAGAAAACCTGCATCTGTCGGTTGCTGGTTCTGGAGCTAAAAGGCCCGTTTTACGCTGAGCAGAGTTTTATGGGACGGAGCGAAGACGGAACGAAGAGCACGATGTTGGAAAGGCTTCCGAAAAATCTGATCCTGTTTGGTTTGTTTGTCAGAGTCTGACGGCGGATGGAAGTCTGAGGCTCCTGGTTCTTCCTGGCGTTCATATCAGCACCTTGGAGGTCCTGGCAGAGCTGATCACTGTGTGAGTAAACGCCGACAATCCCACTACTGTTCAACAGGTTTTCATTCCATTAAAGTGGCCCAATTAGTGTTTTATTCTGGCCTTTGGATCGACAGACTCCCAATTATGAAATATTACTCATCACTTTTACAACGTGTAGTATTTCCCCTGCAGAGGTGTTCATTTTTTGGCCTGTAGGTGGCAGCAACAAGCTCAGAGCGGTTTGCTGCCACACAGATGGGAAGAGAACTGCAGGAAATGACTTCTAAGGAAAAAGTTTTATCTTTTTAAACCTGTTTTTCTCCTGATTTGAGACGATTCACCAAAAGGAGACGATTTATGTTTAAATCTGGAATAAAACAGCTCAGTTATTTTATATATACGGCAAAAACCTTTATTCCTTTGATTTCTGAGTTATTTCTTTAATAACCTTCCACTTGTTTTTGGTTCAGTTGTTGTTCTGTTTTTGTTTATCTTCACTCCTCGATGGTTTAGATCTTAGATCAGGAGTTCCTAAACTTTCCGTTTGTCCCCATTTGAAAACTGTCAGACAAAAGAATGACTTTTAGGTTTTACTTTGTATTCTATCCCTGGTAAATTAATGTTTGTTCAGCAGAAGGAAAATAAAACAAAATGTTCAAAGCTAATATTGCAACAACCGCTGGAATCAGAGCTTTGGACGGTCTGTCAGTCCTGGTCCTCCTGTGGATCTGCTCCATCTTTCATTTTCAGCTCCTTTAAAGAAATAAAAAGACTGACCCAGATGAACGGATCTGGTTTCCCTCTGGCCCCGTCCCTCTGGCCCCGTCCCTCTGGCCCCGTCCCTCTCGTCCCGTCCCTCTCGCCCCGTCCCTCTCACTCCGTCCCTCTCTTCGTGTCCCTCTGGCCCCGTCCCTCTCGCCCCGTCCCTCTCGCCCCGTCCCTCTCGCCCCGTCCCTCTCGCCCCGTCCCTCTTACTCCGTCCCTCTC